GACATTTATAGGCACACACAGGACAGCCGGATGGGCGCAGGACCAAAGGGGACCTCGAGGACCAAGCAGGCCAAGGGCCAGAGGGTGCGAGGGTACGCACCAGTTAAACAACAACAACAACAACAACAAGAGGAACAAGAGGAACAACATCATCATCAGGCAGAGGCATCATCATTAAATAGCTTACGATTTAGGGGTTGAGCACAGTCAAGGGTAGCAATTTCAGTTTTCTTCTTCTTGCTTTCATTTGGCATACAAGGACCTCTCTGCGCAGCAGCCATTGCGACCCCTTTTTGGGCATATCGAAATGCTAAGAAGTAGCCACAATTAATGGATTGCTGTTAAGTTTAAAGTAGCTTAAGTGAAGCAGACGACAGCTAGACGACCGACAATAGAGACATCTACACCCGGCCAGGATTTGAGCAGGCAATGCCAACAACTTGGCTAGAAGACACCAGAGATTGCCGTTTGGAACCAGCTCAAGAACTGAACAACAAATGAATGCTGTTTTTCTTTACAGCTTCGAAAGGTTTACAGATCCTAAATGGTTTTACAATTGCAAATATTATTTGAAAAAGGAAAGCAAAAATGAGGGAGAGCGTCTTTAAAGATATTATTCCAAAAATATTTGACTGAATTTATCTTTCTTCATTACTAAATGAGAATATGGCTAAACTATGGCCGCCATGATCTCCAGCTAAGACAAAATGAATATTGCCTGAACTGGTTCAGTACTAGTTCAATTTGAGCATAGGAACTGGTTCCCTTAGATTCGCCAGCTACACCTATTCCTATAAATAGCTCTTGAATTGAACTATCAACTTCTTAAATATCAATGCCTTAGGCTAAGACAAAGCAGAGAATGCGATTGGAGCTCGAAAGCCCACTTCTAGACAAACTCATTTAGCGAGAAATGGTCAAGAAACGCGCTTAATTCAATTTCAATTTCAACTAGATTCCTTTTATTTTCAACAAAGTAGTAAAACGAAAGAGTTTTTGAATGCTGAAGAAAATAAATACATGTGCAGCATTGATTGAGATCAGTTTCTGATCAGCAGTTGACAGCTGGAGTCGCATTTAAATATTCGTAATGCAGTTGACTGGAACGGGCAGCCGGAACCAGTTCTTTTAAACAAGTTGCCAGAGCAGCTAGCCAGACGAGATAGCTGTAAGATAAAGCTAGACAAAATGATGATGGTTCGCTTGAAGTCTGTCAATGCACGCCAAGACGTGGTTGCGTGAAATTCCACCCGCTACGGTGGAATATGAGCGGAAATCGTTTGCTTACACATTTCATGCCGTTTAGCATGCAATCGGCTTTTGACATAAGCTCAAAGATCTTTGTGGGAATTCACTTGATACGAGTTTTGCACAATCCGCCGGGTACGGGTAAACGTGAAAGTTTGATCGATTTCAAGCGCATTTCTAAGTGAATTCACATTTGATTATCGCCTGTCGCGACTTGTCGAGCGACTTTCAAGTGATTTATGCGAGCTATATTTAAATTCTTGGCTGGAAAAGTGTTGTCTAGAACTTGGACCGGCAAATACGCACTAGTATCTATATATATATATATACACGAGCCAGTTGCAGTTGTTGTAGTTGACTCAATTAATTTGGTTCCATATTGAGAATCAAAGCAGAGAACCGAACCAGCGACCACGAGCCACGGGGGCTGCTGTCAACTTCAAAGCAGCCTTTCAAGTTGTATTTTGGGCAACACCTAGCAGGCGGATGCGTTGAAGGCGAAGGCGAAGGCCAAGACTACCTGCCTGACTATGACAGACAAATTGGCCATATCCCATATCGTAACACACACACACATACACACAGATAGAGAAAGAGAGAAAGAGATGTTGTGCGGGCCGCCTTTGATTTTCTAAACGAATTGTTTCAAGACAAGCCACAAGAGAAACGGCTGGCTAAAGTAGTTGGAGCTGGTGGCATGGTGGCTGGGCCCAGGGAAAAGGACTCGAAAAGGCTTGTCAGGACATGTGAGCCTCAATTAATTTGATTTGCGTTTAAGGCCCTGCCCTGTTCTGCGCAGCCGGCCGTCGTCAGCGACAGATCCGGAAACCGGCGAACTCCACTTCACTTTATTTGTGATAAATTTTTTGCGCTTGGCCTGCTGCGCAAGGGCGACGACGACGACGACGACGACGACGACGACGACCACTTGGCCATGCCTGAATGGGCACAGGACGAGCCACTGCAGATGCCATTTGAAGATGGCCAACTATGCCTTTGAACTATGATGAAACTAATAGCAGCAGCCAGCCAGACGCAGAAAGGTTCTCGCAGCTCGTTCGCGGGGTCGTCAGGTCCTTGGAGTCCAGCACTTGGCAACGTCTCGGCCCTGGTTTGAAGTGCGGCCAGCTAGAGGGTCGTCACGGGGACGGGGCGCAGCTGAACCAGTTAATTGGCAAAGCTTTTGCGCCAGCTTCAACAATTAAACGCATTAGGCAACACCTCAGACACAAAATACAAGCTCCGCGTGTCGCTCGTTCATATATAAATCTATATATACACACACTTTTTTTTTTTGGTCTTTGCCAACCCTCATGTGGTTCATTTCAATATTTTAGGGTTGCGACAGCCGCAATATGGCCGACAAAATACACACACACACACACATGCACATGCACATGCACAAGCACATGCACAAGCACAGGGCGCGGGGCGTTTTAAAACGCGCGCGTTTTTATACCCCGAACTGAATTGAAAATCTTTGTAGCAGGCAAAGGAAATGACATACAGAAATCTATACGCTTCTGATCGATCTGCAAAACTCAGATATATATATTCTCTTAATCTCCGCCCAATATTGATAAATGACGATTTTCTGCGAGCCAGTGGCTTCTCGTGGCTTCTCGTCGAGTGAACACAGATGGAGAACACCTCACTTTTCGTATACCCAGCCCCAGTCCGTTTGGAAACCGAAAAGAATCCATTTGTAGCGCTTTCAAACTTCAAAGTTTTTCGACGAAGAGTAAATAATTTGCAGGGCATATGCTAGTCGAACACTCTCGACCTGGCGTATAATTGCTTGTTAATATTTTTATTTTCTAGCCGAGCTAAGTGCATTTCAATGTCCCTCCACCAAGGCTGGGCCTGAGTTTGGGGGGGGGGGCAGATAGGCATGCGAGCATGCTTAGATATATGCAATTATGAGGTGTAAGGCTGGCACAGTGCTGTACGGGGCGAGAGGGTATCAGGGGGTGTTGTTAGTGACAGCGACTTACTGTTGTTTTGACACGCAGCCAACGGGCATTGGGCCCATTGGCTGACCGTTGGCCTGACCTCGGCTCCTGTGCGCTGACCGCAAAATGTGTTAAATTATAGATTTGAGCGTTTGCTGAGAGCGACAACAGCTGTTGGAGCACTTTTGTGGTTACACGAGAGTTACGTGAGCCGCGCCGAGACACACAACACACAACACACACACAACAAATACGGGCCCGAAAGTCTTGGGGAACACACGCAGCGCTTTGTGTCGGCACGCGGCGTTTGAACTAAGCGAAATTAATGGCCAACACAGGCTACTTAGTGGAGGCCGAGGCCCACGCACACACACCGACACACACAGACGACGAGGAGGAGCAGGACGGCAAAGTTGCGGCCCTTATGGCATTCGCTGATGTCTGCGCCGCTTGTTCAGTGCGCGATTTATGAGTTGGCATGCAAAGAGGCAGACAGGGATTTACCGATCGCAAGGGGTGGCTGCAGCACATGGACAGGGACAGGGACAGGGACAGGGTCGGGGGCTGGGGGCTGGGGGCAGCAGACATGACAAAACTGCATGGCGCCCGCCAGCGTCGCCATCGCCAACGCCATCATTGCGGGCCCTGTTTGCCCACCCGTTGCGCTGCGCCGCCGCCGTTGCTGATCAATAAAAACAAAAAAAAAAAATGAAAATTTGCGCAGCAGTTGATGAAATTTACGCGATCGGCATCGGCAAAGTTCAAAAGCGGCGGCCTTGGCGCATGCACAAACTGGCCACCAGGCAGAGGCGAGCCGGGAAAAAGGCCGCGCCGCCAATTTGTTGGCGCTCGCGCCCACTGCCCAAGCGATGAATGGCAACGAAAGTTGTCGTCGTCGTCGTCGTCGACGCCAATCCCGTGGCTAATCCCGCGGCGGCGGCTGCGTGTGAGAAGTTTTAGATAAGGAACGCAAAACGCGCGCGCCGCTTGGCTGCCATACTTCAAAGTGTAGAGCCGGGAACGCTTAAGCGTTTGGCCAGCTACGCAAATTTGCATTGATAAGCCAAGTGTATGTGTCGGCGCCCGAGCAGGGACTCTTTTTTCTTATGCGAAAGAGACGGCGGACGAGTGTTAGGTGCACGGCACAGCTTCCTCTTCAACATACATATACACACACACACACACACACACACATGTGTGCATGCCACCACGCAGATAAAGATACTAGTTAGATAATGTTCGCTTTGATCTCGGAACGGCAGCCGCACGTGAGCAGCTCGTTGCACGCGTTTCAAACAGCCCAACAGATCATTTGCAGCTAAGAAGTCTTCCGCTCGGTACAGTCCGTACCGGATATGTCAACCGTTGACTACACATTTTACGATTAATCCTAACAAAATAACACTCAAATCAAGCTACTCCGAATTTGTTTAAATCACCTTTCTACCACACGTACCATGACAAACACTTTACAAACTGTCAAAAATAGTTCAAACATACACTCCTAATTACTCCGAATCACTCCGAATTACTCCGAATTACTCCGAATTACTCCGAATTGCTCTGGTTAATTTCGAATTGTTCGGAATCGTCCGACTAACATTCATATCACATCAAACACACTTTAAACTCACATAACTTGCAAAAAGTCACACTCTGAAACCGTTGAAACAAGCCTACCAAGTTTTGTTACAAGATGCCGTTATTGGATTATGATTTTGTTTGGATATGTTTGGTTTTGGATACGTTTTTCAGCATCTAGGGCTTAAATAACTAATGCGGTAAACAAAGAAGACGTACAGTACTTACAAATCCATGTTTATCACTAATATTGTTGGTCAATTTTAATTTGTGAAATGAAACAACTTTTTGCATCCATTGCTCACCCGTTGTGGGCGAATCTGGATGGATGTACATGCGTTTTGGCATTTCAGGATCCGCTTTACCAGCGACCATCCAGCGACTGCAACGGAAAGGATTATATGATATATGGTCTAAACAAACTTTGGTGTGCACACACACGCACTTACCTATTATGAAATTTATAACGATAATCATCCGCCGCAACGATATCCAGTAGCAGTATGTATTTAGCCTTGGCATCCAGACCCGAAACACGAAATTTCATTTGCGGAAACATTTGTCTGCAAAACGAGAGTGTGAGAAAGAGAGAGAGAAAGAGAGAGAGAGTTGGTTAATGCTGAAGCAGGACGGAGCACAAGTCATTTTGGCTTGGGTAATCAAATAAAACATTAATCAGCGCGGCATAAAGCCTAAACGCTGCAGCGGGTTCTCAGGCAGGCCCACCAGGACTTGCAGAGAGGCACACAGAGAGGCTCACACACATACACACACACAGGCACACACACAATCATCATCATCATCATTATCAGTGGCTGGGCAAAGCAAACAAAAGGCAAACTGCGATCAGTCGAGGAGTCGAGGAGTCGCCACAGTCGGGGCCCAGGTTATCAAGTGGCGCCAAGCCGCAAATTGTTTCCAGCTCCAGACTCCCGACTCGAATTCAAATTGGCCCCGACCAAGGCTCCAGCCAGCTTGTTGATTAGCCTTAGTCCATGTTCTGGCCATGTTGGTGGCAATGTGCAAACTCGAAAATTACATCGTGGAGCACACCAGGTCAGGTCGGGGGAGGGGCGGGGCGAGGCGGAGCGGGCGAGAAGGAGAGGCGACTCGAGTCGATCAGTGACCACAGCTCCGTGCTTTGTGGTTTGCTGCTAACCACCCAAGTAAAGGGCTGCACCCTCACACACACACACCACACACACACCACACACACACCACACACACACACACACAGACAAATATGAAAATTATAAGTTTAAGTAGCAATCACTCAATCGCTGCGACTGCGCCTCAACAGCGTCAGCGTCAGCGCCAGCGCCAGGGCCGGAGCCTACAGCTGGCTGGGACGCCACCTTCGGCTGCAGCGCGATCTCCGACGCTGCCTTCAACTTCAACTTCAACTTGAGCGCCTGCGCCTCATGAATCAAATTTAACGAACGTCTTGTTCATGTTCACAGATCATCATCAGCTGCGCCTGCATTTTGATAAAACCAACAAAAAGGCCCCCAAACAAGACACGGCCAACAGGCAGGCAGCCAGGCAACCAGGCAGCCAGGCAGGCCAACAGCTAACAAGCTGACTGATGTCTGACTGCCTAAATGACTAACTGACGAACGGACAAACTGACAGACAGACAGACAAACAGACGGACAGATCGACGGACAGACGGACGGACAGACAGGCCGAGGCATTCACTGACGGACTGCAGCGCGATGTTTCTATTTGGAGAACCGGCCCAGCAGCAGCAAGTGGCAAGAAGAGATGCGCCTGTCGGGTATATGCGACTATCGGCATGCCCTTTATTGACTCTAGCTGACAACAGAAAAGTAAACAAAAGGCATATACAAACAGCCATCGAATCCCCTGATAGTTCATTCATGAAATCTAACGAATAAAATCGTGACTAGAGAGCCAGACTTTCGCATTCTCCAGAGATATTGCAATTATTCATATAAATATATATTAAATAGATATATGAGGGAGAGCGAGGGAGAGGGAGAGAGAGGGGGAGAGTAACGAACAATCTCAAGCAATCTTGACATATTGTATTTAAGTCAATATTTTATATAATAAAATATATTATTTTTGTTAAAATCTGTATGCCAAAAAAAAAACAACTACAAACTAATTAAATATATACAAAATTTCGATGCAATTGAAAATCCCCGCAGGTTTTCTACAATACTTTCTAAATCTATAAATTTTCAACTCTTACAAAACCGAAAAGCTCTTAGCTAAAGCAAAACTAACCCAATCTAACTCAGTTGTTTCTCAAGAGATTCTTGTGAAACTTTGGATTTATCCTAGCATATCCAATAATAATAATCTCTTTCTATATAGAGCCTGCTTAACTAAGCCAAGCAACAATTCCCACCCAACTCTGTTGCTTCTGAGGAGATAATTGTGCAACCTTTCGATATGTCTAAGTATGCTCTTGCTCTATTCTGCGCTTAACTCAACGCAAAAGTAACCCAGCATAACTCTGTTGCTTCTGGCGAGATCATTGTGTAACTTTGTATATATCGTGGAACTGTAATAAAATACATGCATACCAAGAATCAAGCAAATATCTACAAACATACGCTGATTATGAGCTAACGTAAAATGAAACAAATATGACAACATTTAAAAGCAAGAAAGATAAGATTGTCATATACGATAGATAGCTTTATAACAGATAGAATTAGGTAGTTGTGCCTGGCCTTTTTATGGGCAGCATTTACAGGGTATGCTGCTGACGTTTCGGGAACTCGCAAATCCAAAACCAGAGCCAGAGCCAGAGCCAGAGCCGGCCCACGTCTTCGGCCTGCTGCCTTTTGCCTTGCGACTGCCTTTTTCGACTGCAAATTATTTTTTATTTGCGGGCCAGCAACGAGGCTGGGTCCGAGACTGGGGACTGGAGACTGGAGACTGCGGCTGCGACTGCGATTGGGGCTGGGACTGGGACTGAGGCTGGGACTGAGGCTGTGGCACGTCTGCCTGGTTAGTTGGGCTCCTTTTGGCTGCGTTTCGATGCTTTTTTTTTTGGGTATTTGTTGTTGCTGTTGTCTTAACTGAATAGCTCGTTAACATTATTGAGCACTTGGCGCCAGTTGTTGGCAGCTTGTTATGGCCATGGCCGGAGCCAGAACCAGAGCCAGAGCCAGAGCCAGAGCCGGAGCCGAAGACGCGCCGCATAGCCCCATAGCCGCAAGCGCCAACTGGAGCCAAGTCGCGTTGGCCCAAAACAAATCGGCCCACCACACGCGCACAACTCCCCCCACCCCACAACAGGCCGCACCCCTCCCACTGCTCAAGTGTGCGTGTGTGTGTGTGTGTGTGTGTGTGTGTGTGTGTGTGTGTGTGTGTGCAGCTCGAGCTGTGCTCGACAACAAAACGATTTGCTCTCGTTTGTGTTTGCTCAGAGCTGAGGCTCTTGTCCAAAGCTGCTTCTTCTTCTTTAGCTTCTTCTTCTTCAGCTTCTTCTTCTTGTTGTTGTTGTTGCAGCTTCGTGCAAATCGTTACGTGTAAAACTTGCACCTTTTGACCGAAAGTTGTTTGTTTTGTTGGCCCACACATTATTTTGCGAACGCGCTCGGCTAATTCAATTTTCTTATAAGCCCTCCGTCTCTCTCTCCCGCTCGTCTCTCTCTCCCGCTCGTCTCTCTCTCGCTCTCTCTGCTTTTATTGCCCAGCAATAACAAACAAGAACGAGCTGTTAATGTGGCTTGAAAGTGTTTTCGGCAGGCTACTTGGGCTCGACCCGGGCCCGCTCGGTGAGGCCCGTTCACAAACGCAGGGCCCATAATTAAGCCTAATTAAGCCGACTGTGTGTACGGGCGTGTGTGTGCTGCCATTGAGGTGTCTCCTCTGCCACAAAGACGCTCGCGTCCCTATTGAGGTTAATGGCTAATCAATTAGCCCCGGGCTCCGAGCACTTGGGCCGGGCCACTGCGGCTCTCCGGCTGCCACATTTCGTCCTGGCTGAAATAAACGCTTCAGCGATTGAGTTGTAATTGGCATTTCGAGCCATTGACATGGCCCAGCCTCGAGCCCGGCCAAGATAACGCTCACTCAACCAGATAAAAATAACAACTAACAAAAACAAAAAAAACAAATGCTGCCCGAATTACGTAATGGGCCTTGGCAGCACAACAGATCGCAGCAGGACACGGCAGGAGACAGAGAGCAATGCAAATAGAGCCAGAGAGGGCGAGAGAGAGAGAGAGAAAGAGAGCGAGATGAAGAGCCAGAGTTAGATGGAGAGTTAGAAAGAGAGAGAGAGAGAGAGTTCATAAATATATCGTAGGTGCCCGACTAGAAGATACCCCTTACAAATAACCCAGCCTCCATTCACACACAAACACACACAAGGACTCGCACGATGAATTGGTGCCTGCTTAACTTCGGTACTTAGAGTCCGATCTGAATGCAATTTTCAGCCGTGATATAGCCAAGACTGTTTGTACGTCCTTCGCTCGGATCGGACAACTATATAATATAGTTGCCAGAGGAAAGATCGACTAGCTGCTTGATTTCTCAAGATATCTTACTAAGCATAATGATGTAGTATATCATTATATGGTATAGACTATATAGTTCTTCCATAGGTAGAATCGGTCGTAAAATGAGTTATTGTACGGAAAACAATTGTGTCTACCAGCCGTTAAGAGCTTCACTTGTCTCAGAGGGGCATCAGAGAGGAAGATATGCTTGCTTTCTTGTTTATAAATTTACCAACACTGTTTTTGCTGCAACATTTTATGGGTTATGACAACCGCAAGCAGAGAGTTGAGCAGAGAGCAAGGCTTCTCTTCGGCCTGCTGCTTGAGCTAGATATTTGAATAATCTAGAGTACAGCAAGAATTGGTTAGCTTTGTCTTATTTGTTAAATTTGGGCCGTAGACAGCTGGCCAGACAAGCTCTCGAAGCAGTGCACGTGGAGTGTGTGCAGCCATTAGATGCTGCCACATGCCGCACACGGCAACAAAGGTGTTGCGCTATCGGGCGCAGCTAAACGGCGCCTGTTGACGCACCTGTGCGCGTCCTGTCTTTCTTCTTGTCACAGGTCGAAGGGTAAGTAAGGCCAGAGAAGCGTCAATTGTCAATTTTTTATCTGCTGCTCAAATCGGACGAAGCGATAAAGCAGAAGAAGAAGCAGACGCAGTTGAAGCTGCCCCCAGCTGATGTCCGTGTGTGTGCGTGTGTGCGCGTGTGTGTGTGCGTGTGTGTGCTAACAAAGGCTCAAAGTGGCCGTCGCAGTTGCAGTTGAGGTGCGTCTGCTCCTGCGCACCGCCCCGCCCCCCCCCCCCCCCCTTCCCTCTGCAGAGCATGCGGCAGACCGCGTTTGCGGACGTTTTGTCAACAAGCGCGGGGATTAAAGTAGCACCTGCAGCCGGGCAAAGGCGCGCCGGCAACGATGTCAAAAACAGCAACAACAACAGCAACAACAACAACAGCAACAACAACAACAACAACAACAACAACTGCGACGGCTGTTGACAGTTCGCCTTTGTGACAACAAAATTGTTGTCGACTTTTTCCTTTCGTCTTATATTTATGCCCTTTGTCGAGGCTATTATGAAACTGGCATGAGATATGTTATAAAATTATATATATATATTCCTAAACAACATCAGATATGTGCTCACATTCTTCCGCCTGGTCCCTCCATCTCCCTCAACCAGATCGAAGCAATATATCTTAAAATTGCTTGGAAATCTTGCTTGGAAATCTTGCTTGTTTCTCCAGATATCTTCATCAAGCTATACGACCTCTCTAACACATAGCTCTAATGGCTTAAACGATCGTGAATGGACTTTAGCTTGAATATCCTTCTCGATCTTCCTTAAAAATCTTAAATTCAGGGCATTTAGTATTCGGTTTACTTTCGAGTACTTCCTCTGGCTTGTTTTGCTGAAATATTTTTGTTTTTCAGGTTTTCAGGAGAGACAGACAGAGAGAGAGAGAAGCAGGGGGGGGGGGTCTGCTTTAATCTGCTTTGGAGGCAGTTTTGTCAACACATTTCGAAATGTGCCCCCGCGCATTTGCCGATAACTATCGATAGCTCAATAGAGGGGTGCATATATTTAACATGCACTTTACAAGCCGCATTACATTCGCCCCAAAATGCCGCAGCCAGAAGAAGAAGAAGACGAAGAAGACGAAGAAGAAGAAGTAGGATGGAAATAAAAGCAGCTGTTGGCATTTAATTTGAATTTTATTGAATTACAATTGCATGCAAATTCGCGCTTTGCCAACCAAACTAAAATTTATTTGACAAATTTCCGAATTGCAGTTAACGTGCACGTCAACGCGAACGTCAACGTCAATGCGTATGTCAGCGCCAGCAGCAGCTGCAGCCATATAAAGACTAATTACCTGGCGCACACACACACACATTCACACACACACAGGTTGCTGCCTGTCTCTGGCAGGAGCAGTGGCTAGGGGGGCAGGGGGCAGAGGGGGTAGCGGCTAGCAGCCAAATTAGTTAAACCAATAAACTGACAGCGACCGCTTACGTCTCGTTATATGCCATATTTCAAGTCTATATAATAATAAAAACAATTTATGAAGGCATAACAACAGACCCGGTCCCTGCCGCTGCCCCTGGCCCTGCTCCTCTCCCAGACCCTGCTGCTGCTGCTGCAGCGAAACGCGTCCTCGGCACCGCCCCCGCCATCTGAGGCACTGCCCCGCGCGCTGGCTGTCAGTTAGCGGCAACGCCCACAAGCGTCTCGGCCTTAGCTCGTTGTGGCTCAAAATGAATGGCCATGTCATTAAGCGGGCCCAGAGCCCGGCCCGGCTCGGGCAGCGGGACAGACGCAGACGCAGACGCAGACGCAGCCGGAGACAGGCGCAACCCGCTGCGCTGATGCCTCAACACGAAGGAGCAGAAACAAAAACACAAGACAATCCTTGAGCTTGTGTGTGGCGCTAGGATTAAGTGCTCAGCTGTCCGGCGCGCTGTGGGAATTCCGGAGCAGCTCACGCTACTCCAAAAAGAACCCAAAGAAATAAACAAGAAACAAAACAAAAGCGGAGACAACAACAACAGAAACTAATCCACATAAATATCTTTCAATATATAAATCAAATCGCGTGTAATTACAATTTGTGCGCTTAATTACGGAAAATGCGTGAAACGAGCGCCAGCAAAAAAGCGAGAGTCGAATTTCAAATGCTCTACATGAAATTGTTGGCCCTTCGGGGGAGTGCGATATGGAAGCAGGCTTAACCGAAGATGAAATACTCTTACTTTCTCTTTATCTCGCTCGTTTGCTCTGTTTCCCTCTCTCTCTTTCTCTCTCTCTTTACCTTTTCCTTTCTCATCCTCTCCCTCTCCTCTACTTTCACTTTCCCTCGCTTTCTTTCTCTCTCTCGCTCCCTGTCTCTCACCTTCTCTATCTCTTTCTCCTCTTTCGTTCTCTCTGTCTCTCTCCTACTGCATCTCTCCTCTCTCTCTCGCTCTGCCATCTACACAAACAACCCAGCTTATCAAACTATGATGCCCGCTGCTGAGAAGAGTATTCGCAGCATCTAAGCCCGAGCCTAGGCTTATCGGACTCTGGGGCCTGATAAGAGTCTACTGTTAGGCAGGGGCGCCGGCGCGGGGGTGAGGCAGGCTAGGCGGCAGCTGTCAACGGCTGCGATCGTGTCTGGTGGCAGGTTCGGCCAGGGCACATAACTCAGCGAGTCGTCGACGCAAGTGCTTGATAAGTGGAGAGCAAGGAGCACACCCCTCCCCCACACCCCTTCCAGCTGACGCCCTTCTCTAATCACGCTTGCAGCTGAAAAGATTCCGTTTGTCGCCCCGTTCCAAAAATTGCGCTTCAAGTTGTTTTGTTTGTTGTTTGATTTAATTGTTATGAATTGAAATGCAGTTGCAACCACTTCCCCCCCCCCCCTCCCCCTCCCCCACTCTCACCATTGATAAGACATGACATGCGCTCAGTTCTGTTTAGATTTGACAGAAGAGTGGTTGGGCTAGGGGTCAGAGGTCGCCATTCGACTTTTTGGGTGTTGATTTATGTGGCATTTGTTGTGTCAGTTTCGTGACAGAAAATATCTATGCCTGGTATTTTGTGAATTATTGTCTTCCAGATAAATGTGCGCCTGTCTATGGAGCAGCTCCTCAAATATGATTTGTGTGTGGACAAATAAAACAAAAAATAAATCAACTTTAGTTAACTATGTAAACTTTGGAATCCTTCTTATGTTCATCATTTGCATAAGCTTTCATGTTAAAGCCAACGTGAGCTTTGCAGGCCAAAGTTCCAGCCGGCTGCGTTGAACCACCGAGCGCAAGAACGGCGGTTCAAATCCCTCGTACATATACCATATATGAAGATAATAAATGAATACATTCCTTTTCAATTACATCAAAATGCATGTACCCACTCACCCCCCTCCCCCACCCCCCTCCCCCGCACACCACACATTATTGGCTCGCTTACATTTAATGCATTTGCTACATTTTGCTTGACTAAAACGATAATTTATTTATATATTTTTTTAATTATAATACGTTATTTACATGTTCGCTAGAACGCCCCCAACCGCCCACGCCCCTGCTGAAAGCACATTAAGCACCTGCCCGCGAACCGTACTTGAATCCGAGCACCTCAAATGGCCGTCGCCTTTGTTTGTTTTATTGTTTTTGTTGGTTTTCTTTTCGGGGGTTTTTTTTGTCATAATTGCTCATAATTGCGGCTGCTGTCAAGCACACACACACACACACACACACGCGCGCGCGCGCACATGTGCGCCATTTTTGCTGAACATTTTGGACGTCGTCGCCATCATTTTCGGTCAATTGACACAGGCAAACAAAACACACGACGCCGACGCCGACAGCGACAGCGACGCCGGCAGATTGCACACCCTGGCCTCGGCTCGGACATTGGCAATGAGCCGGCACCCCAACTCAGTTAACCATCATCCCCTACCCCTCTCTCGATCATCGTACGTTCGCTTGCTGGTTTTGTCTAAACAAAAAGTTCTGCACACATTCTTTGCTCTCGCTCGCGCTCTCGCTCTCGCTCTGGCGCATTGAACGCCCGCACGCAGTTCATTTGCGCCGCATGCGGTTGGCCGCGAATGTGCGAGCAAGATAGCGCACACCCCCGCAACAACAGTTTTATTTGGTGCTTTTGTCTCGCTGCTGGCTTGTGTGTGTGTGTGTGTCTGTGTCTGTATTGGCATTTTGCTTTGTGCTTTGCTTAATTTTTGTTTTTGTTGCGCTGCTGGTCAGTGGCTGCTGTTGTTGTTGTTGTTGCCGTTTTACTTGTCCTATGCCCTGCGTTGTATCTCTCTCTCTCTCTCTCTCTCCGTGCTAAGCACATGTGTGTTTGCCCATTTCACTACACTTGTCACGCCGTCAACTGCGACGGCGACGACGACGGCGACTGCGACAGCGCCGCCTCTTTTGCATGCAAAGCAGCAATCGACCGTTGCTTCTGCTGCTGCTGTTGTTGTTGTTGTTGTTGTTGTTGTTGTTGCTTAATTTTGATTTTGATTTGCCAGTTTTGTTGTTTTATTGTTGGGTTCATCTTCAACTCGTTCATATACATATATATATATATTTTTTTTTCGTGTTGTTTTGCGTGCGCTTTTGCCGCCGTTTTATGCTACTTGTCGCTTATTCGAAGCAATTTATTAATCATTTAATGTATAAAATGGCGTCAAAGATGGACAGAAGGGTGTGGGAGAAGGGGGGGCCGTGGCAGAAGCGGAGAAGATGCTATTTAAATATTTATGACCAAGTTTCTAATTTGATTTGGCTAGTAGCTGGAAAAGGGGGTGGTTGGGAGGTGGGTAGGTGGGGAGGTGGGTAGGTGGGGAGGTGGGTAGGTGGGGAGGTGGGGCTGGGGTTAGTTGCCTGCTGCCCTTCTTGGCTCAGGCTCGGCCGAGGGGTTGGCCTGGTTTGCTTGTCTTGTTTTTAATTAAATTGTGCGTCAAATGTTTTTCGGCTCGTTGATTTGCGCGCTGCTCAACGAGGGTTGGGGGCGGAGGCGGAGGCGGGGCGTGGCCAGTGCGTGTCGGCGCACTGTCAATGTTTGCTTGGCAAAGTGTAAGTAATTTATGCGCATTTAGCGCTCAAGTGGGCTTAAAGCAAAGCCAAGATAAAGAAACGCTTAAGCAGCCAATGGGCGTGGCCCGCCCAAAACTTTACATCTATATATATATATATGGAATTGGGGTAGGGGGGTTGGGCCAAGAGCCTGGCGGTTAACCGAACTGAAAGTTACTTTAAATCGCATTCCAGACATTCTTCCATATAAGATAAACACACGCACAATAGCTCTGAATAACTTCGGTGTTTATTGTCCGATCTTTCTGAAAGTCTTGGGTCTGCTTAATGACAGCCAAATGTGTGTGAATGCCAAAGAGCAAGGCTCTAACTTTAGAAATGCATTTCTTTTCAGTTTTTAAACGAAATAGAAAGTGAAATAATAATAATCTATGCAGAACTCTGCTTTGGTGTATCTAGCGCTTAGAATTCTCCAGTTTTGCTTAAGCTCAAAACTTGGTTTCAAAATCGATATTTATCGATATATTATGCGCATGGTAGAAGTTATCGAAATCAACAAACGCAAAGGTTTAATCCTTTAGCTTTTGGAGTTTGAAAGTCCGCAAGGGATATCCGAATGCGCAGCTCTCCCACTTGCC